TTCGCAGAGATTTAACCATAATGATCTATTTTTCCGTATCATATATCATATATCTGTGCTTATCAGTGTAAAGTAAGAATATGACATCTAGAACGAGCTACTTGAATATTTTATTCATTGGTAATAACAAGAAAAAAAACAATTATTATTATATTGCTTATATTATAAATTGTTAAATTAATGACTTATATTCGTGATATATTTTACATATATTTATATTTGTAAATATATAATAGTTTCTTCCAAACATTCTTCGTTAGTTTAGACGACAAAGCCATGATTTACTAATCGCATGATGAATTCTTGCAATATTCATTGTCAGAAGAAAGGACAGTGCTTTGTTCATCTTGAACCGACTGAACGTCCATGATTAACGATCGAACGTCGCCAAACTAGCGATCCGCAAACTTTGCCAAGTCATCACGGTAGCAAGTGGAAGCGTTAGGAGCTCGCTTTCGCCTAATTACCACTGGCTCTTGACGCGTGAATAACACAGGAAACTTCTCACCTGTGGCATGCATCGACGCGTGTTCGTGCTCGTCGTTGACGTTTAATTATTGAATTACCGCGCGATAACGTTAACCGATCCGTCGTGGCCAGTGTCCTGCTCCTCTCCTCGCGGAAACTGAGCTCCTCCTCCCGCTCGTCGTGACTTCCGGTTTAGCAGTGACCCCGGTAGAAGCACGCTTTCTTCCGATGGGACGCGGTTTGCGGCGAGAACAGCTCTGAACGACCGGTTGACACATGTGTGGAAAACCGCACATCCTTTCCATCGGCCATCGGCCACCATCTGCTTCTCGTGCTGGCTGCCGGGTGCTCTTCCGTCCACCCCCTCTGCCGCTTCCTTCGTCTTTTTGCTCTACCGAAGCCGAGGAACAAGGGCATTGCGTCCTACTGGTTCGTGGTTGATCTACGTTCCTCTCAAGGCTCTCGACGCTTTTTCGACTTTTCGATATTTCCGTTCGCGAACGCGACAATTTAACCCTCTGCACTCGGATTTATATATTTCAGAAGGTTACCAATCAACTCGGAATTATTTTTCATATTCGATCAAAGTGGAAACATTTCTCTGGGAATATATTACAAGTTCACTTGCCGTTCTAGTAGGAAAAATACATAAATAAATTTTATTTGCATCTCAACATCTATGTAGCGACATACGAGTGCAAAGAATTAAAATTCACATTTGATATGAAATTGCCGAATATCTCGATGAAGTGATTCGTTGCGAGAAAGTCTGATTACTGGCAAGTATTAAAAATTAACGTAGCTGTACGTGATTCAACACGTTTCTTGATTTATGAGCTAAAATGCATTATCTGCCGGTGATCCTCGTAATTTGATGAATCGCATCATTGATGAAAAAGATCTTACGTAAAAGTCCGGTACAAAAGGTAATCGACATTTGCTTTCTTCAAGAAATACAACCTGGTGTTTCCTCGTGCAGATCGGTCTTGTCAAGATCATTCCTCGAGCTCGTTTGGAGAATACTCGCGTGTTGCTATAAAGACACACTCCTTTATTCGCTCGCTGCTAGGTATAACTGTAACAACGAGGGGGAGAACAAAGGTAGCCGTAACGATGACGAGCAGGACAAAGGCAACGATCGCACGAGGCCAGAAGATCGTTGTACAGCTTGTAATAAGTAATTGAATTTCCTCGAATATATTAGCGAACGACGAAGGCAACGATAACGGTAAACACGAACGGGGGAAGGAATTATGAAGAAAAATAAGGATGCTCGGGGAAGGAGTCCGCTTGAAACGAGGCGAATCGATTGGAAACCGCATTAGTCCCCGCGTCCCATGTCGATTAAGTGGCTTTCCTTCGGCTACCGGCGGAATATTTAATAATACCTTTCAACCCTTTGTCACTCGTGAAGAATTCTTCGTTGACGAAGAAAGGTATCTCGGGCTATCTTGTTGGTCTCGGGCCGCTTGACATCGATTCGAAAGATGAAGTGGCTTCTTAATCCCCTTGAACTTCGTTTGCAAGTAAAAACCAGCCATTGGGAACAATATGCTCGAAGAAGAATATCCGTTAATTTTTTTCTTTCTTTCTTTCTTTTTTTTTTTTTCTTTACGATACTGATCCTCGAGACAGATTTATTGGTTCGTTCAGACGAGAAAGGACAGCACTGAAAGGGGGTGGTCTTCGATTTTTCTTGTCGTTGATGTAATCCGATTGATTGTAGCAGTTGCACATTGGAAATCAATTCAGATATCGAAATTAACAAACAAATATTTAATATATAGTATTGGGGGGGGGGAGGTAATATGATTCTGAATAATAACCTTGAATATCTCTCTTACTTTTAGAAATATGAATGAACTTTTTCAACAAATGTTCCTCTTATGCATTAATCGATACAGTTCGACGTGTTCTCTAAAAATTCACCTATATCGAAAAATTATCAATCTGGCAGAGAGATACTTTATCTTTCATTTTATAAAACTTATTGCGTGGAAGAATACTATTTCTGTTTTTCTTCGTTTCTGATATATAGTGTACACTTATATGTATATATACATGAGATAATCGTATCATTAAACATATCAATAGGATAGGAGGAAAAAGAAGGATAATGGCTCTTTAAAAACCTCATTGTTATGAAACGTAGATAATGCTTATTATCTAATCTTAGCACTCATTCGATTTGCTCATAAGATTATCTTTCCAGAAAAAGTTCGATCGAAATTGTCCATTTGACGAAAACG